GGGGCTTGATCCCAGGACCCTGGGATCATGACCTGAGCTGAAGGCAGACGCTTAACGACTGAGCCACCCAGGCGCCCCGGTTAAAGGAATTTCTAAGAAAGATTTAATTATCTTTCAAGTGTTTTTACTGGATACATTATATGACTTGATACTGATATAACTAAAGCTATTTGGTGCAAAAAAGAATAACCAGGTAACTTCAGTAGGTTAATTTTCAAGTAGTAAGTTCTTTTTTAAACTTCTTTGCCTCAGTGCTTATGTACAGTTTACTTCTGTAAACTGTAAAATATCACTCCAGTTGGTTAAATTGAGTCTAAATTGAAGTGCTTTCATTCTTAAAATCGGGTGACTTTTAATTCCTATATCTAACCTCTTTTTGGGGTGATAAGTCGGTATGATACTTGAGAAGTAAACATTCTAAGTTGCTAAAATTGTTGGCGGTCTCATGGTTTTCAGGCAATGGAGGCTTAACTGAATTGTGTTCCTTGTTAAGTCATTTAAGTAAACTATTTAGGAGTGCACTTGACCTAAAAATAATAGTAAATTCTGTATGGCCACTTAACTATGTGAGAATTAGTATGAAACAGCCAATCTGTATTATGTACCCATTAAAAAAAGCTTTGAACATGCTGTTGTGGCTAATTAAAAGAAAAGAAAAGAAAAATTCCAAAATGTGAATTTCATGGAAATTAAAATCTGTTATTTCCTAATTTTTCTTTGGGCAGCTAATTGAGATGAGAAATTGAGAAAATTATATAATGCTTCAAAAAGTTCTTTTTAATAACCACTTTATTGAGATATAATCCGTATGCCATACAATTCACCCTTTCAAGGCTTAAAATTCAGTGGTTTTTAGTTTACCAACAGACTGTGGAACTATCACCATAGTCAATTTTAGAACATACTCATCACCTTAATAAAAAGAAACCTCATACTCATTAGTAGTCACTTTCATTTCTCCCCAGTTACCTCAGGCTTACTGTCTACAGATTTATCTATTCTGGACATTTCATATAAATGGAATCACATAATGTGTAGTCTTTTGTGACTGATTTCTTTTACTTAGCATAATGTTTTGAAGGCTCATCCATGTTCTAACATGTTTAAATTTTTTATTATAACTGTTTATACTGGCAAATTAAATACATGATGCTTTTCTGTTACCAGGTAAAGAAATATTTGATTACTTTATTGTTTTCTTTGCCCCACTGTAATACTGTGTTTGCTGAAGGGTTGCCATTAACTTCTTAGGCTAAGAGCATGCTCTATAAAGTTAATCTTGCTCAGATTAGTATACTTTTCTGATAGTCTTTATTCACATTATGCCTATTTTTTCATAAAAGTTATGACATCTCCTCTTGCTTACCTCATCCTCAATCCAGTTTACCTGAGGTAACCTCTATTTGTTGTTTGGAGTGTATCTTTATACTACTTAAAATTTTCCTGTGTTTTATTCTTTTTAGACCCTGTTTGGCAATAACAAGCTTACTACATTTGGAACCAGCACAACCAGTGCTCCTTCATTTGGTACAACCAGTGGCGGGCTCTTTGGTAACAAACCAACCCTGACTTTAGGAACCAATACAAACACTTCCAATTTTGGTACATATAAAAAGCAGGTTTGGCTCTCTTAAAGTTACACTGACTATACCACACATCATTCTCCTGATTCATATGATTGGGAATATTTAAAAATTCTCAGGTAAGCTGTGGCTTGATGTGAGGTACCAGAGGGAAAGATTTAAAATCATGGACTTGAGTTGACATACTTAGAAAAGTTGTAAATTGCCTTACCTCATTATTAGTCTCTTAATTGCCTGCTTTGGATAAAATGGGCCATTCAGCACATGCAGTGGTACCTTGTAGAAAATTGCTTTTCTCTAATGGAGATAGATTTTTTCCAAAATAAGGAAATAGATTTTCTTTAGATTACCTCACCGGTAGTTGAGAAACCAGAAATGAAACCCATTCGGTTGAAAGAACACATTGTTTTAGGCCAGGTTTCAAACAGGGAAGTAGTGTACAAATGAGATTTGATGATTTTTTTAAATGTTTTTTGTTGTCATTTTTGTTTTGATTCTTAGTTGTTTTTTGAGATTTCATAATTTTTTTTTGAGATTGCGTGATTCTTACTGAAAATTGGAGTTTTCCCTCAAGCTGCAAAAGTATATTTTTGATTGCATGTTCATTTTTAAAAATTTGGAAAATACAGATTAGATTGAATAATAATTAAAAAATAACCCTAAACCACTATTCAGAGATATGTTGGAAAAATTAAACTTGTTTAATAGAAACATTATATTATTCTAAATGTCTTTAATAATTTGTGTTAGATAACGAAAGTTCATTTTATGTGCCAGATATATTATTAGGTACAGGAGGTATTTAGTGTGAAATGAATGAAAAGATGGTTATTGGAGTGCCTGGCTGGCTCAGTTACAGAGTTTTACAGTTTTTCAGTGTTTTTGAATGGTCTTATAGTGTACTAGAGAAAGAGACTACATTAAGAATCTGTTAGAAGGTGATATGTTTTTACAGAAATGCATATGTGAAAGAAATAGGTACCAATTCCTAAATTTTTGCACTTAATTTTATTAATTATTTTTAAAGATTTTATTTATTTGATAGAGATCACGAGCAGGGGAAAGGGCAGAGGGAGAAGCAGATTCCCTGCTGAGCAGGGAGCCTGATGTGGGACTCCATCCCAGGACCCTGGGATCATGACCTGAGCTGAAGGTAGACACTTAACCAACCAAGCCACCCAGGCGCCCTTATTTATTTTTTTAATGAAGATTTTATTTATTTATTTATTTGAGAGAAAGAGAGAGGGAGAAGGAAGCTCCCCACTGAGCATGGAGCCTGATGTGCAGCTCTATCCCAGGACCCTAGGATCATGACCTGAGTCGAAGGCAGACGCTTAATCGACTGAGCCACCCAGGCGTCCCCGATTTGATTTTTTAAAAGATTTATGTATTTATTTTAGAGAGAGAGCACGAGCGCGGGGAGAAGGGGGTTGAGGGAGAGGGGGAGAGAGTCCCCAAGCAGACTCTGTGCTGAGCGACCCAGAGATCATGACCTGAAGTGAAACCAAGAGTTCACGCTTACCTAACTGCACCACCCAGGTGCCCCTTTAATTTGATTTTTTTAACCTTTTTTGTTGTGTTGCTCACTCACTCCTAGTAGTGATTATCATTTCAACGATTAATTCTTTTTGATTATGAAAGAATGGTTTTGAGGCATTGGGCTTGGTTAGCATGGGTATCTATTTTGAGTACTTGTTTATTTTATAAAATTAAGATGGGAAAGATACTTAAAGGTTAAATTAGAGTTTTTCAATCTTTTTTCATCACTGTCACTCCTTCCCCCAAAAGCTTTGTAATCATCTTCTTACCCTGTGAGATTTTAATACCACATGTGTTCTGTTATATCTGTTTATGTACTGTGGCCCTTTGGAGGGCCATAAGCCATTGTATAGCTATGATTCATTTAGCCCCTCAAGAACCAATTTTCCCTTCCTTTGAAAATGCGTGTTTTTTGGTGCATGCTTCATGCTCAGAAAAAAACCAAACATTGTTTTTAGGTGGGTGCTTATATAGGCTAAAGTGATAAAATGGGCTAGACTTCTGAAATATACTTGATGTTCTTCATCATTGCAAATTTCTGATTTGTTTGGAGATTTTGTTGTTGTTGTTGTATAAATACATTTATATTCATGTTTGATGTTTTGAAAGTGAAAGATTTCATTTTTATCCAATATGCCTCACTAGCTTATGTGATGAATCTTAATTGTCCTAATTTTTTTTCCTTTTTTAATCCCCAGTTTTGACCTAATGCCTGGCATAGAATAGGTACTCACTAAAACTTGGTTAAATGAATTAATGAGTGAATAAATGGGGCCCTAAGAGTAAGGATTCCTTCTAAGTCAGATGGGGGTTGCATGGTAGCAAGTTTTGTTCTACTCTTGGGTGAATTTAACATCCCATTACTACCCTTGAGGGATCCTATCTAAGTAAGGCTTTCTTTGATATTCTTGTTTTCTTGGGAAGCTGTCAACTTTGAGTTTGTGGACAGAGTCTTCTGATTTGGAAATAAGCCATATAACAAATCTGGAAATGGGATAAGATTATACAAAGATTTAGAGCATCATTATATTATTGTTAGTCACACATCCATTATGGGATTTTGTTTCATTTGGCTGCTGATTAATTCACAGAGTTAAAGGTTGGGGTACCTGCTGCTACAGTTGGTGTTGTGAGATCCTTAAGTCATTCTTTAGAGTCATCAGCTTATTTTCTTAGTAAATGATTATTCCTGGGAGGGACGGGTTTAAGATTAAATGAGTATAAGATAGTGTCTGAATTTCCGAATGAATGGAGGAGTAGAATTGTTTCAGGAGAGGAATTACAGACAGTATGTCAACACTTGTGAGCAACAGTTTAAAAAGATTGCTTCTGGGACGCCTGGGTGGCTCAGATGGTTAAGCGTCTGCCTTCCGCTCAGGTCATGATCCCAGCCCACATCAGGCTACCTGCTCAGTGGGGAGCCTGCTTCTCCCTCTCCTTCTGCCTGCCGCTCCCCCTGCTTGTGCTCACTCTCTCTCTGACAAATAAATAAAATCTTTAAAAAAAAATAAAAATAAAAAGATTCTTTGGGTATTGATAAGATGGTGCTGGGCAATAAATCAGTGATTCTTCCATACTATATGGTTAAGTGGACAGTTAAGGAGCTATTTGTATACTTAAACATCTTTTTTATTTTAAAAGCTCATTTTTCTAAATTGCGATATAATTGAAATATAACAGTAGTTTCGGGCGTAGGACATGATTTGGTATTTCTGCCGAATCATATAAGACTAGTTAACATGTTACTAACATGTTAACATGTTAACAGTAAGACTAGTTAACATGTTACCAAACGTAGTTATATGTTTTTTGTGTGTGTATGATGAGAACTTTTAGGATTGCTATTTTAGCAACTTTCAAATATGCAAGACGGTATTAACTATCGTCACCATGCTGTACATTACATCCCCATGATTTACTTATTTTATAACTGGAAGTTTGTACCTTTAGATCCCCTTTCACCCATTTCACCCATCCCCCCATCACCTTCTTCTGGCAGCCACCAATCTATTGTCTGTATCTATAAGCTGTTTTTTTGTGTGTGTTTTATAAGATTACACATACAAGTGAGATCCTGCAGTATTTGTCTTTCTCTGTATGGCTTATTTCACTTAGCATAATGCTTTCAGATTCCATCCATGTTGTCACAAATGGCAAGATTTCATTGTCCTTTACAGCTGAATAATAATCCATTATATGTATATATCACATCTTTATCCATTTATCCATCAATGGCTATTTAGGTTATTTCCTGTATTTTGGCTATTGTAAATAATGCTGCAGTGAATATGGGGGTGCATGTCTTCCTGGGTTAGTTTTTTAGTTTTCTTTGGATAAATACCCAGAAGTGGGATTGTTAGATCATATGGAATCTATATTTTTAATTTTTTTGAGGACCCTCCATACTGTTTCCCACAGTGTCTACACCAGTTTACATGCTCACCAATGGTGCACCAAGGGTTCCCTTTTCTCCACATTTTTACCAACACTTGTTATTTTTTGTCTTTTTGATAATAGCCATTCTAATAGGTGTGAGGTGATACCTCGTTGTGGTTTTGATTTGCATTTCCCTGATGATTAATGATGTGGAGCATCTTTGCATATGTCTTTTGGCCATCTGTATGTCTTCTTTGTAAAGAGAATAATTCAGATCCTCTGCCCATTTTTAATTAGATTGTGTTTTTGCTACTGGATTGAGTTCTTTATGTATTTTGGATATTAACCTCTTATCAGATCTATGATTTGCAAATATTTTCCCTTATTCAGTAGGTTACCTTTTCATTTTGTTGATGGTTTCCTTTGCTGTACAGAAACTTTTTAGTTTGATGTAGTCCCAGTTGTTTCTTTCTGCTTTTGTTGCCTTTGCTTTTGGTGTCACATCCAAAAAATCATTGCCAAGACAGATTTTTTTTTTAATTAACATACAATGTATTATTTGTTTCAGGGGTACAGGTCTATGATTCATCAGTCTTACACAATTCACAGCGCTCACCATAGTACATACCCTCCCCAGTGTCCATCACCCAGCCACCCCATCCCTCCCACCCCTCTCCACTCCAGCAACCCTCAGTTTGTTTCCTGAGATTAAGAGTCTCTTATGGTTTGCCTCCCTCTCTGGTTTCAGCCAAGACAGATATTAAGGAGCTTAATGCCCATGTTTTCTTCTAGGGGTTTTATACTTTCACGTCTTAGAGTTCAAGTCTTTAATTTTTGTTTATGGTGTAAGATGGTGGTCCAGTTTCATTCTTTTGCTGTCCAGTTTTCCCAGCACCATTAATTGGAGAGACTGTCCTTCCCTATTGTATATGCTTAACTCCTTTGTTGTAAATTAATTGACCATTAATTAATCGTCCTTAATTTTCATTTAAAAATTGTTTTGAAATAACAGAGTTGATCAACTTTTGTCAGTTAGAATCGGAGGAAATGTGTGGTATAAACAGTGTAAGTTGGGACTTATTTCCCTCATGTGGGTTTGAGGTAGCTCACAAATATTTTCTGCTGTTTACTGGGCTGGAAGATCCTTTCTGGTTAAATTTTAACTCAAAAAGAAAAAGAGTATCTCCAAGTACATTTTTTCTGGGTTTTTTCCCTTCTTTAAAAAAAATTGTGCTTGAGTAGCAGTACTCCCATTTTGTGGCATAGCTATTAATTAGCACAATTGAAGAAAATTTTTAGTGAATGTATGATTTAAAATGTGTCAGATTATGTCAGATTCCATGCATTTTTAAGTGAGATTAGAAATATATTTTCAAACTGTTTAAATTCTTTGCTTTCATTGAGATAATCCAGATATTAGCATGACTAACTATAACATTCTTAGTTGGTGATAATGTCCTATATTTCAGGATACTCTCTTTACTCTGTTATCTTTCATACTTGATCCCCTCCATGATACCTTTTAAAAAGACTTCTGAGTGTTCCATGAACAAGGTTTGCTGGCCAGTGATTGATTTTTTTTCCCCCCCTCCTATCAAGAGATTAATGATGGGACGCCTGGCTGGCTCAGTCAGTAGAGCATGCAACTCTTTTTCTTTTATAAAGATTTATTTATTTATTTTAGAGAGCGCGTGCGCGCATGTGCACTCCAGTGAGTTGGGGGAGGAGCAGAGGGAGAGAATCCTCAAGCAAACTCCCCTCCAAGTGCGGAGCCCAATGCAGGGCTTGATCCCACAACCCATGAGATGACCTGAGCCGAAACGAAGAGTCAGATGCTCAACTGACTGAGCCACCCAGGTGCCCCTGGAGCATGCAACTCTTGATCTCGGGGTCTTGAGTTCGAGCCCAGTGTTGGGTGTAGAGATTCTTTAATGATTAAAATCTGTATTTAAAAAAAAAAAAAGATTAATGATATGCTGATTGGATGTTTTGTTGATATTTAGCTACAAAAGGAGTGCAGAAACTTTGTGGACATATCTGAACAAAAGGGAAATAATAGCAATAATGCAGTAGAGGTGTCTTTTGGTGAAACCTGTGGATTTTCAAGGGGAATCATAGGATTTTCTCTAGATGGGAGGTCATAGTGAAGGAGGATGATTTCTTTAACTCTCCATCATCTCTGATAATGAAACAGTTCAACCCAAGAAAAGTTATTTATAGATTATTTTCTCTCTTAATATCAGCTAGTTAAGTCCTTGAGTGCTCCTATGAGTTGATTGAGTATGACACCATTAAAGTTCCAACGTGTGATCAGCCAGCCACACATTACTGCCCATACAAGGTTCATCTGTTCAAAACCAAAGCTACTGTGGAGATTTTTTTTTTTTTAAGATTTTATCCATTCATTTGACACAGAGAGAGATAGCTAGAGGAGGAACACAAGCAGGGGGAGTGGGAGAGGGAGAAGCAGGCTTTCTGCTGAGAGCAGGGAGCCCGATGTGGGACTTGATCCCAGGACCCTGGGAGCATGACCCGAGCTGAAGGCAGACGCCTAACGACTGAGCCACCCAGGCGCCCTACTCTAGAGATTTTTATAGGTAAATTTCTATTAGCAAGAACCTTTAGCTTCAGTAAAGTGTCTTTGAGATTGTCTTATTTTTAATATATATATATTAAGGTTTATTTATTTAAGTAATCTCTACCCATTGTGGGGCTCAAATTTACGACGCTGAGATCAAGAGCCACGTGCTCTACTGACTGAGCCAGTTAGGCACCCCAACTATCTTATTTTTAGTGAAAGTTTGAGGGAATGCATTTTTCTTCCATTAATTAGACATGAAAAATAGGTTTGAGGCTCTGAGTCTTACAAAGGGATTGTATATGCTCAAGCACAATCACTTTAATGGATGTTATCTGGTATTGAATATTTCAAGTCTGAAACATAATTAAATAGGAAGATTTTGGGGTCTGTTTATAGGCATCAAAATTAAAATTCTTTAAAAAGGTTAAGTTAGCTTACCATTTACAATTTTTTTTTTTTAAGATTTTTATTTATTTATTTTGAGACAGAGAGAATGAGAGACAGAGAGCATGAGAGGGAGGAGGGTCAGAGGGAGATGCAGACTCCCTGCTGAGCAGGGAGCCCGATGCGGGACTCCATCCCGGGACTCCAGGATCATGACCTGAGCCGAAGGCAGTCGCTTAACCAACTGAGCCACCCAGGCGCCCCACCATTTACAATTTCTAAATATTAATAACTGACAGGATGCAAAGCTTAGAGTCAGACTGCCTTTTTAAAAATTCCCTTGTATAGGAAATTGAGAGTTGTGTTAACAGTACAGTCCACTCATCTTTTGTCCTTCTAGGTTTTGGCACAAACACCAGTGGGAGTAGTATTTTTGGAAGTAAACCAGGACCTGGGACTCTGGGAACTGGGCTTGGTGCAGGATTTGGAACAGGTAAGGAACTGTACCATGAGATTTAGGAAGTGACACAGCTTGGCTTTCTAATTGCTGGAACTTAGGACCTCTGTTTGATCATATGCCTGGGTATAAGAGGACTAGATTTGCATTTTCACAAATGGACTTATAAAGCATTCCCAGCAGTTTTGCTTTACCAGGTTTTAAAACATTTGGACGTTTTATCTTAAAAGTTATATGCTCCCTTTCTATAAAATGTTTTTCTTCTGGTAGTCCTAGTCTATCTGGGATTTTTAGTATTTAATGTGAGACTTGTCAATATGATGGCATTATTAACTTTCAGTTCCCTTGTGCTGCCTTTGTAACAGGAAGGCATTTGAGACTTTGAACTGTTAATCAAGTAAGCTTTATTACCCTTATAGTAAGAGCAGTAAGAGCATTAATTGAAGTAATTAGCAAATACTCTGAGGTTTTAATAAGGTCTGTGCATACTTCTCAATTCTTTCCACCTTGATGTAGAGCTGTCATACCTTTGTCTCTGTTCCTACTATTGATAATTTATTTTTTAGTGCCTTTGAAGATATTGACCCTTCTGCCTACCAAACTGTTTTAAGCAATATGAGAGTGGTAGTGGTCATAAATGAATAACAGCATGTACAGTTCCAACAAGGTTGTTAAAGCATATAGTTTTGTCTATTTCCCAAGTCATCTGACCATGGGTGTGTGGTCATTTAGTTGCAAACCATTTATTTCCATGGTCTCTGCTTCCACTATCCAGTTATCTGTTGTCTTTGCTACTATGCTCTGATCACTTATCTTTCATCTCTCTCTTTTTTTTTTTTTTTTAAGATTTTACTACTCAGCAATCTCTATACCCAATGTGGGGCTTGAACCCACAACCCTGAGATCAAGAGTTGTATGCTCCACCAACTCAGCCAGCCAGGCGCCCCTGTCCTTTCCTTTTTAATAGAACCTCATTTTATACTCTATGAACTATTTCCTTCCATTTTCTTTTTTAAATAAAAGATATAAGTGTTTTAAAAAAAATTCAACAATACAGAAGTATGATAAGTCAACGTATATCAGTTGTGAAGTAACAGCTATTTAAAGTTTGGCGTGTTCTTGTCAGACTCCTTTACATTTTATACATTTTTTTCATTTTATACGTTTTTCAAATGTGTACAAACACATACAGTTGTACATGTGTGTTTTATGTATTTTCTATTATCTTCTTAAATAGAAACCATATCCTACATGAGTGGTTTTTTTAAAACCAAAGGCTGAGGTACGTTAGTTGGATGTAATAGTTATATAGTGGGCTGCAAACAGCATTTAAGGAAAAAAATAATAGAATGGGAAACTCATTTACAAAGTAAGGTTAACTATCACTTAATTTTTGTTTTAGTTATGTGTGTGTGTGTGTGTGTTATGGGTCTCCGTGTATTTCATATTGTGTGCTACAGTCAAAAATGTTTCAAACTGAAAGCAACTGCCTTACATGGTATTCTGTATTTCATTTTTTCATTTCCCATGACATTTTGGGCATATAGTTTTTTCTTTGGTCAGTATATATATAGATCTGACTTATTCTTTAAAAATAACTGTTCGGTATTCCATTGTGTATATATGTGCATATATACACATGATACATAAATACATACACATAACATAATTCAGTTTTCCCCTTTTAGTAGACATTTGAGTTATTTGATATTAGCAATGCAATAGTGAAGATCTTTGTTACATAATTTTGTATGTGTTAGTATTACTGTGGGATTGATAGTTGGAATTGGGTCAGAAGATACACACGTTTCGAATTTTGGTCAGTCTTGCTAATTTGCCTTCCAAAAAGAATGCCAATATGAATTTTTGCTCTCATTGTATTAAAGTGCTCATTTTCCCCATACTTTTCCATATTGTTGGACTTTTTCATCTTTAAATGCATGATAGTGGAAATTGGTGTATTCTGATTTGCACTTCACTCATTACTGACGAAGGATACTCTTATGTATGTTTACTGGCCATTTGAATCTTAATTCCTTATTCATAATATTTGATCATTGTTTCTTCTATTTTTGAGACAGCTTTATATATTGTGGATATTAACTCTTTTGGGTTGTATGGTAGAGTTTTATTTGAACTTTTTAACTTATCCAAATTCTATCATATATATTTTACAAGAAATAAAAATTAAAAAGCTGTAGTTTTTCGTGTAGTGTGAACCCTAAACTTAAGCAGAATATGTCATCTGACATCAGTGTTCTTTTCTAATCCTGGAGGTAAAATTAGCTTTGGCGTGGGCAAATTACAAGCTTTTTCAAGGGTAGTTTTGACCCTAGACAGTTTGTGAACCATAAACCTAAAGCTCAGGTAAGATGCTACCTTAATGTCTGTTACAGATATTTCCACCAAGTGTTTAAGTTTACCATTTAATTTTATGGTATCGTCATGTTCAAGTTTTATTTTATTTTTATTTTACTTTTTTTAAAGATTTTATTTATTTATTTGACAGAGAGAGACACAGTGAGAGAGGGAACACAAGCAGGGGAAGTGGGAGAGGGAGAAGCAGGCTTCCCGC